AAGAAAAATCTAATTTTTGTATAATGTTATAAAGATTTATAAATATAATACAGAATTGCTAGTTTAACTGAATTTAGACATTCCTAAGAATGAAAAAAATGTAAAATAAGACTGAAATTTGATTTTTTGGGTTCCACACAAAAAATAAATGCGGATGAATTTTTCATTTTGATTTTGCGATAGGTCGTAAGAAGAAATATCGTAGGCGCCGGAAACATTAGCCTATCCAGCGCTGCTAGGCTAGGCTTAGCCTTACCTCGATTTAGGTTCTGTTATCACACATAAAAACGGCCGACATGATATTTTCCGTTGCTAGTATTGACACTTGTGAAATATAATATTTCATAGGAATTATTTCAAATTTGTTAAAAAACTGATTCTGACTGAGGTTTTGACACTTAAACAAACATATCTCATCCTTAATCGAACGACCGCATTGTGCGAGATACGAAGTACAAAAACTAATCTCATTAGAGAGGGCGTATTTTATTGACTGTATAAAAGTATAAAAGCGAGAGTATTCCAGTGGATGTGATCTACAACCTCTGAATTTGCCTAGTAACGATGAATTCGTCCAGAAAATGGTAATATTTTATGAGAAATAGTCTGTATTTCTCATTTTTTTTATTCTTTNCTTTTGCGTAAAACTAAAATTCATGCCAATATTTTTCCATGATTTATAATAATTGGAGTAATGCAAATGAATATTTTCTAAAAAAAGTCAGTTTTTAGTGAAATTTTGCCGGGAATGGGGCTTTAAGTAACACAATTATTTGGAAGAGAAAAATGTTGTTTAATTACTGAAAATATTCACTTAGGAGCCATTTTAATATTCACAATAAAAATTATATATTTTCTGGGGAAAAACTGTAAAAATTCTGGAAAGTGGGGAATCTCCTTAAAAATCTGGGAAACCCACAAATTTCTGGGAACTCGGGAGGTCTGCCTAGACCTAGGCTATAACTATATTTTCTCCATGGATGGTATTATTATTTGGTGACCAACTGATACAGCATAGAAGTGATTTCACGTTTTGTGGTACGCAGTCTGTACAAAGGCAAATGTACAGGCAAAGGCAAATTACTCACGTATCATTCAAGGTCTTCTTCGACAACGAAGGAATAACCACAACATGTTCCGTCATAATCCTACTTAATACACACAATACATCCTGCACGTTCCTCAGTAGCACTGCAGCCAAGAAGGGGTTACGAGGAGACAAGTCATATAGGTCTACATGTCATTAAATATATATAGCTAGGGCCATCTATCTACTAGCCTAGCTATGAACTAGGCATAGTGTTTTCTAACTAATGAGAAAAATAATATACTATTATAAAGAAACCAGAATGTAAATACAGAAGGCACATCTAACTCACATACATAAATAAACAAACGCCAATACAAAAAGAAAATTAACCTTTCTTCTACTTCTTGCACATCATTCACAGAGAGTTCTATCAAAGATACTAGAAATACAAGATAGAGTTCTCGCGTTGTAAAAATGAGGCGGAAGTCGTGCCCAACGTAGGCGGCGCCCTTCTTTTTAACCATGCAAGTTTCCTATACTTCGTGCCCAACGTACAGGGCGCCCTTCGGTTGCTCAGTATATCCAGACGCAAAAGGCGCCCTTCCTTTTCCACTAATGGAGGAAAATTTTTTCACTAAGAGTGCGTCCGGCCATGCGATTCTGCCATGTATTGTTGTTTTATTCTTTACTGATTCATGATTATGCTTTAATTGTTTTGTGTATTATTTGGATAATAGCAACGATTTCTACCGCCACCAAGGAGGTTATGTATTCACCGATGTCACTCTCTGGGTGTCTATTCCAGTTTGTTTTTATATCTAGATCTTTGTTGAGAATTGATAATAAAATACGCGACGAGTTGGTAACGAAAGTTTGGCACAAGTTTTTTTTAGATCCAGCTCTAGGGGGCGTCCCATTTTTCGTATTCCCACCATGCATTTCGGTGGAACACTTTTTTTGTGTGGAGAACTCTATCTTGTATTTCTAGTATCTTTGGTCAAGGTAATTAAACAAAAGGACGCACATCTCCGCTCTCGAACATAACGCGTGCGTACAGTCCTTTGATCTTTACTGTGGCATCGACAATCCGATACTAGTTGCGAGTACAGCCGTCAATTATTAGTCTTGTCTCTTATACACATCT